TATCAATCGCTGTCCCGATTATCGTCAACACGGGAAATCACGGCCAATCAGTGTCCAGAATCTGTTAGGGCTCACGTATTTGTATTAATGAGCTACTTATTCAAGGCGTTGCCTTGTGCAATATAGCTGGTCTAGACAAACCTGTAATATATTCCAGTATCAGTTCAGTTTCGTTTCCGCTTTTCATCCATAGCTCCGCTTTACAAGCTTTGACTTCTCTCGCCAGAGAACGGTAAGTAAACCTTGTATTCTCAGTATTCTGTTACTCAGTGCAAGTCTCGTAATTTGAGGTTATCATATGATATCATACTAAAATGTGCCTGTTTGAGTCAGTTTGAAAATGCTGATAGGCTTCGCGTGTTACGGCACGCACGACGTACTTGACTGGGTGGAAACTGTTAGGCTTTAGTACCAAACTTAATTAACAAATGAAACCCTGCATGAATAGGAAATCATTGCAATAATTCTACTGCCAAAATAAGAAAACTATGTACCTATTCATCAGTTAGAACTTCTCAAACGTTTGCGCAGGTTTTCTGATAGTTGTTTCTGTAGTTGCTTTGTGTCACTGATTTCACTTTAATGACTAGTCCGTAATCTGAATGAGTCAGCGCAAAGTAAAAACACTCGCATCCTTGCTAAATGTGGGCATTAGTTATCGCGAGCCAGTAAGCTTGGCGGTAGATTGTACTGTGCTTAAATTAGCTTCGCTCACGGACGCATTAGCCGATCGAGTTCTTCGAACTGATCATGATTTCCGGGTACAACAATGTTTCATTGTAAACATCGCATATGTTATTTAGAGCTCTTCTTGTGTTCTCTCGACATCGATCTTGCGTGGGTTTTTCGCGCGCGTAAACCCCAAGAAAGTGCACTCTATTATTTAAATACAAAGTAATCACTAAAAACGTTTGTCAGAGAAAGACATTAATTGTACTTTCGTGATCAAGTTGCTTATTCTCAACAAACTCATGAATAAAAGCGCAAGCTCAAGTCCACAAACAAAATCGGAGGAGCATAACGACGAAAGCGCGTAGTCCTACAAATGTTTTAAAAAGGCTATCGGTTAACGGAAGAAAATGCATTCAACGTTTCAAAAGTACCTTGACGGGAAAATGCAGGAAGTTGTAGCTGGAATCAGTCATCACAAGAGTAAAAGGCTGTAGAGAACAAACTTCATACCTTGGCGAAGTGATTTGACGAATGGAGTAAAGGTCAACCCTATATCTATGCTCAATCTAACACTGGTACTGAAAAACTAACCTATAAGCTAACTATATAAGTTTATATATTTCAATGTACTTCTGCAATGCAGAATGCGGTCTAAAATTCTGTTTTTTTCTTTTTCTTTTCCGGGTTTATTTTTAGGTAAAGGGTTAGTAATAGAGTTATACTTTTACTTTATAATTCGTCAAATTCCTCAAAATTGTCAACAAAATTTCGTCAAATCTGCCATTTTCGTTACTGCATCAGTGCATTTCTGGACATATCTCCATTTGTTAAACAAATTGAATGCTTTTTAGCAGGAGTTTAAATCCGTAGCTCGCTGTGCACATCAATCAGCGGTTGACTGTGAGTTCTTCAAGTAAAACACAAAATCATAGCGCCTATCTTGTTTGTGAAGTTACCCTTAGATAAATAAATAAACGAATAAATAAGTAAATAAGTAAATAAGTAAGTAAATAAATAAACACTTAAACAAATAATTAAGACGAATTCCGATTGGAAATCGAGCAATTTTAGTTTTTAATGAACAAGAACCTAATGACAGAATAACTGTAAGTATATTACAGTCTATTTTGTATTTTCTAAAAGCTTAGATATAAATAGTTGCCTGAAACAACACAATAACAAATTTCCCATCGACATCCGAGAAATTAAATCTCAAAGTTCAGAGAAATTGTGCAAACACAGGAAAAATTTCATCATCAGTCTAATTTCACCATTACTTTCAAGTGTTTCATATGAACTTCAAACTTGTTTTCGACATTTGGTGTGTTAAAAATGATTTATTTTGAGAAGATATTTAAAACTGTCGCACAGAAGTTTGCGATACAATGTAAATAATCTTGATACAAAGTTTTTGTTCTCTTGTTACTCGAACCTCTGGTGGATTCCTTCTTGTCTATCACAAGTGTATTTTCTTCCCTTTTTAACGTCAGGTAAAACGTGGTTTAGATTATCTAGTACAGATATCTGTTGGGATTTCAAGAAATGGCAAGCAGTGAGAAAGCTTCCCCAGGTATGGTAAAAAATAGGCCAGCCGCTTATTCAAAGCTTTACCACCAGACAGTAGGTTGTCAAAGTACAAAATTATACATGCATCTTGCTTTAAGGTGGCTGGGAAGAGTTTCCGGAACTTTTCCAACAGCATTACTTTGATCGATCAATGCCACCACTCTTTATCAAGTGATGCTACGATATTGGTATCACACAAACCCCAGCCATTGGTGAACCAATGACAGTAATCTTTTTGGCATAATAGGTTACCATAGGAACGATACAGCCTGTTGTACACACCCTCAAAATTAGCTTTAAGTGCTTATAACTCAAAAACGAGCTCGGTGACCACCCACGTTTAATTTTCGAAAATTTAAGGTGGCTCTGAACCCTTCAACAAG